AGATGATGATGGGAGAGGCTGCCTCACCACCTGAAGACTTTATACTCTTCAGATTCACTACTCACTTGTTCACATCAATTCGCCCATTTATTGGCATATATTTCTTGAGCATCTGCTGTGTAATACACAAAGAGATAATGCTGCTAGTCTCTTCCTTGGTAGCCAACTTATTTACTTCATTCTTTTCCTTCGATTGAGTAAAAGCCTATTTCTTTGCATTGAGTCAAGGTGTGTGTGTGTTCAACTGCAAACACACAAAACACCTCAGTCCTTTCAGTGGCTAAATAAGTAAGGGACCTATTTAGATCACCTAATAAGAAGCCCAGGGATAGGCAGGCCAGAGCTGGTGCAGTTGCTCACAGATGTCATCATGAGCCCAGACTCCCTCTTGCTCCAGCATCTAGCTTCAGTCCTCGTGGTCACAAGTGTGTTGCTCTATTACCGGGCATTGCATCCACATTCCACACAGAAAGAAGCAGGGAGAGCAGAGAGGCTTGCCTTTTTATCCTGAAAGGTTCACCCTCCTCAAAGACTTCTAGCTACATCAAATTGGCCAGAGCTTGATCCCATGGTCACCAGTAACTCCAAGAAAACCGGGGAAGTAAATTTTTTAGCTGGGCACCTTGTCACAGGGAACAAAATCAAGGTGCTGTTAGTTGGAAGATGGGAACTGGATTTGGGGTAGGTCATCAGCAGGACCACTGTGGGATTTTAAGCCTAATCTCTATGGTCTCTCAAAGCTGATGGTTCTACAGTCAGAGTGGTTGATTATTTCTGGGTCCTTGTTCACAGGCTAAGCTGACACAGAGAGGCACTTGGTTTAATTGCCAAAAAGGCACGATATGAGCAACCAACAGCTGCTGGGAAAGGGAACTAATGCCTCTCTTGCCCCAAGACCCTGCCTCCCAGAGCTTGGTAGGGTTGCAAGGGGGTGTCCAGGCTCAGCCTCGATGGGCTAGGTTGTCCTTGTGCAAACAATGCTTTAAGGTAGAGATCACTTTTCCTTTCCTTTAAAAAAAACATACACAAACGTCGAGAGAATCACATGCAGGTCCTAAGCCGGTTTTCCCCCAGACCCATTCTACTTGCTCTCCCCTGCTCTGCTCTGCATTGCATGGGGCTGACCCCCGATGGCTTCATTTTGATTGTAGGTTGGACTTGGCTGAAAGGGAGCACTGGAAGGAGACTGGAGGGTGGCAGGAAGGGTTCCCCCCCTTTCTACCTTGAGTAGTGACCCCACAGCAGCTGTGGCTCCACAGTGACTCCAGCACTCCCCAAAAAGGTCTGCTGTGGTTTCTATTTTGCTAAGTAACGCTAGGCCCTGGGCTCCAGTGACCCCACCTTCTCATGTTGTCTGTCCAGCCCAGGGCTGGCAACGGCTGGCATTAATCTCTGGCTTCTCTGTTGGGTTCCTCAGTCTCCCATCCCCTGTGTAACCAATACTCTGTCTCAAGTCCCTCTGCTTTAAATACTCGAGTGTTTTTTGCCTCCCAGTTAGATCCTGACTCATAGAAACAGTATAATAAACACCCAAACACTCATCACTTAGATTTAACAATGATTACCATTCTGCCATACTTGCTTCATCTATTTTTATTTTTGTGGGGAAAAAAATCCCAGACATCATGATGTTGCTAAATGATTTCAGCATGTATCTCAAAAAAAATAAGGACATTTTCTTACATAACAAGCATATTTAAATTGTTCTGACCTCCCTTCACACATTAACACACCTAACAAAATGAGCAAAACTTCCCTATGATCATCTAATACCCACTCCATACTCAAATCCTCCAAAGATACCAATTTTATTGTGGGTTTGTTCAAATCAGGATTTAAACAAGGTCCACCCATTGCATTTGGTAGATGTGTTTTCTGAGTGTCTTTTCATCTTGAACGGTCCTCCCACCACAAGATGTCATACACACACACACACACACACACACACACACACACACACACACGGCCATAAGGAGCCCCTGACTCCCCCTGCCTGTGTCCACCTCTCCCAGAGCCCCTTGCATAAGCCACTTCCTCAGTTTCAGCCCACAGCCCTTTTCTCACAGGGCACAGACCCTCTCCTCCCCAATCTGCCTTACAGCATCGGAGTCACGGTGCCACAGCTTGGTGCTTAACTCTTTTTCACCTTCTCTACATTTGTTTGTTTTGTTTCCCTAATAGTGTGTAAAGCCACATGGAAGCAAAAACTAAACCTCTTAATGACTTTTAACCACAAAGGGATCTTAAAGATTATCTCATCTAAGCCTTGATTTTTTTTTTATAGTTTTACAAATTGCATGAGTCATATATCACCACTCATTTTACAAATGAGAAAATTGAGGTCCAGGGAAACTAAATAATTTATCTAAGGACACGCAGCCAATTGGCAGCATGGCATGTTATCCATTTGTGGTGGATTTTCCACTGGACCGGGAGCCCCTGTCTTTCCATTTTCCTGCAGCACCTAGCACAGTATATGAAGCACAGAAAATCCTCACTAAATGGCTGTTGCCTAATAGATGGATTATGACTCTCCATATGAGTCTTAATTTCTTGAGGTGAATGATATTGTGGCTATTCAGGGAGAGTTGTTGAAAAGCAAATGATTAATGGTTTCTGGCCACCTCACACTACTATCCCTTTGAATTTTCAGGAAGTGTTTGATACACTGGGTCTCAGAAGCCTTTGGTGATGGCTAATAGTCAGCCAGCTAATCTTAAGGACTAGAGTCCCAAAAAGAAAATGTCAAAATACACTACACTTGCAAACCCATGGAGACAGAAAGCAGATTGTTGGTTGCCAGGGGCTGGGGACAGGGAGGGATGGGAGTAATGAACCAATGGGCATAGGATTTTATTTGGGGATGCTGAAAATGTTTAGAAACTAGATCAATATATTTGTTGCACAACATTGTCACTGTACTAAATACCACTGAATTCACTTTAAAATGGTTACCGTATTTCCCCATGTATAAGACACACCCTTTTTTTTTTAAATTTGGGGTCTAAAAACGGTGCATCTTATACAGTGGCGGTAGATTTCAAATGCCATAGATGGAACTGAGGACGAGGCAATATATGAAGACAGTGATTCGTCATCAGACACAGATGAGGACAAGCTAATGGTTGGGAGTTTTGACAGTGATGAGGAGTTGTGTGAATTTTATGATGAATAAAACTTGAGTTCAATAACTTTATGTAATACATTCTTTTTTCAAATTTTGGGTCCCCAAATTAAGGTGCGTCTTATACATGGGAGCGTCTTATACATGGGGAAATAAGGTGATTTTATGTGAATTTCACCCAATAAAAATAAATACACAACAATTAACAGGATTAAATGTCTCAACTGGACTCCACTAGACATAGCCACACCCCAGCCTTCCCGCCACCTCAGACTGCTAAGTAGAAGATGAGATTCGAGTTGGTGGGAGCACAGTATGGGGATTATTTTGAGTCTCCCCTCCTCAGTCAAGAGAAGCACCGTGAAAGCATTGCTGTTTATATCAGAGGAGCCTGCAAGAAGCACGTTCCTGAGTTGGAGAGAGGCTTTGGGGCAAAATGGAGAGGCTGCAATGGATATTACATCAGATTCAAGATTTAAGAATTTGAAAATGAACTAGGCTGGACAGGGTGGTTTTTGTTTTGTTTTGTTTTGTTTTTTTTTAATACCTAAAAGCAACCAAAAAGCTATGGAATTAGCCCAAAGTTTTATTAAGGATTGTGAAAAAGATATTGCTCTAAAAGATTAGGAACCAAAAAAATTTCACATTTCTGTCCCATGGAGTTCAAACTGGAAAGTAAATTGCTTAAGCTGAGCGGCTTGCATACCTAAGCAATATCCCTGAGTTTTACGGAGCAATAGTTTTCTTGGGCTGTCCTACCAGCACTTCTCCTCAAGAAAGCCAACCCCAGGCAAAGGGACTCCGGCTGTCAGAGGGAGCTGAGGCAAGGCAGAGCAAGGGGCCACAGTAATTCCTCCTGGGAGACGACAGCATTTGGAGACCTGCCATCCTGAGAACAGCAATAAAGAACCCACAAAACCCACAGAAGAAGAGGTTGCAGTCACACAACCAGTAAAGCAAAAAGATTGTTATCCTCTCCCCTACTCTTTTTCCAACTCCCCAGTCACGGGAAGAGAAAGGGACCAAAAGAGTGAGGCGAGGGTTGAAGAACAGCCTTCTCGCTCCCAGGCTCCTGGCTAAAGGCAGCTGGCGCTGGGAGAAAGGCAGGCAGTGGGCATTATATCAGATTCAAGATTTAAGAATTTGAAAATGAACTAGACTGGATAGGGTATTTTTTTAATATCTAAAAGCAACCAAAAGCTATGGAATCAGCCCAAAATTTTATTAGGGATTATGGAAAAAATATTGTTATAAATCTCTAAAAGATATGGAGAATAAAAAAAAAACGTTTCATGTTTATGTCTCATAGAAATCAAACTGTGAAGTAATTTGCTTAATCTGAGTCTCTGTAAAGTGAGGATAATAATTCTTTCTTGCTGGGCAGTTGCAAATGTTCAATGGAGTAATATTCTTACAGCACCTGGCACATAGGCAGCCATAAAATGTGGAATGGGGCAGTAGCTTTCAGAAAGCATGTAACTCTTCTAGGCAGAAACGCTCAGATCTGGGGAAAGTTAATACTCCTGAACAAGGTTCATCCCCTGGGACTTGAAATATGGATACTTTTTTGCCCCTGAGGGAGGCTTCCTTCACTAACTGAAAAACTGCACAGAGGAAAGACCATATGAGGACACAGCAAGAAGGCTGCCATCTGTGAGCCACGGAGAAAGGCCTCAGGAGAAACAAAACCAGGTGATACCTTGATCTTGGAGTTACAACCTCCAGAACTGTAAGAAAATAAATTTCTGTTGTTTAAGCCACCCAGTGTGTTACGGCATTTTGTTACGGCAGCCTGAGCAGACTAATACAGTCATAGACTTACGAGTTATTTGTCCAATGGAATGTAGATACAAGTGACAGAGTGTCAGCTCCTAGCCAAGGTTTTGTGGACCACAATTAATTTTAGGCTGTGATAAATAATAAAAGCATTTATTTGAGCAGGAAGATCTGCTGCCTGGGAGACACAGATTCAGGTAGCAACCTAAATTGTGCTCTGCACAAACAAAGGAGAGGCCATCTTTTATAGAGAAACTTCCTGCCTATAGTCCTCATTTTGGTTCATTTCATGCAAATGAGGTTTCCAAATCACATAGGTCTGATTGGTGCAAACTGTACAGTTCTGATTTGTCGGTATGGATGCAAACAAGGATACAATTTGTGCAGTTCTGATTGGATGAGGCAGGTCTCAGTTCATTGGTCGAAAGACGAAACCAGGAACTTCCTAATGGTGGTTGACTTTTGCAGTGTAAACAAGCAGGGGCATAGTAGAGGAGGTTGAGAACTCAGCCTGTAGTTTTCCCCAAAATGCAGAGTGTGGGGGAGGCCTCTGGCAGCAATCGCCGCTAGACTCTGATTATGAATTTGGGCTCAGTCAACCATGTGATGTCCATTTTGACAGATATAATTCTTCCCGAGGTTCACAGCCTCAAGAGGCATCACACATTTCTGTCCGTGCTCTGGTGCCTCTGTCATTTGCCTCAGAAGAGCATGCCCTGGACACCCATGGGCCCAAGGAGGAACAGAGGAATGTGCAGCAGATGTCAACCCAACCAGCAGCATTCGCCTGAATTCAGAGCCAGGAGTCCACAGCCTGGAGCTCAGCCTGATCCGGATGCCTTCCAGCCAACCACAGGCCCATCAGAAAGATGTAAACACTTAACTGTTCTACACCATTGAGATTTGGCAAAGACTCTGACATAAAACTCCCTCATGGATCTTCTGTGAGAATTAAATGAATACTATATGAAAAGACTAGACAAAAGTAAGGTGTTGATATTAGTTCTTATTAAAGAAATCAAGCCTCACTCAGCCAAACTGGAGAGATAACCAGTAGCATCCTTTGAACAATGGCTACGTAAGGAGTGTTCACTAATTATGATGAGAGAGAAAAATCTGTATTATGAAATGTTTTTAAAAGGATCTACTTTTTAAGTTACATTCATAAATAAATGATTGGCTAGCAATCATCAAAGTTCAATACATTCAAAATTTTGTCTATGGTGTGGTTGTAGCCTAGACCCTGGCAGGAGCTAGTTCTCCCACTGGCCTCTTGACACCCCCTGTAAATTTTACTTTAGATCTGCAAAAGATCTAAATGTTGAATGTTTTCACTGAAACTGTCCTTTTTCTACAATTTATAAAAAGGGAATGTGTTGGGATCAGTGGTGTGCCAAAGGGTGGCCATAGGGGCAATGATCCACCCTACTGCTGGCAATAAGGTGTGCATTGTCTGTACAGAATTTAAAAACAAATAATAAAACCATTTGCTGTTGGCCGAATTGTGTCTTCCCTCCCCAAATCCATATGTAGAAGCCCTAATCCCCAATGTGATGGTATTTGAAGATGGGGCCTTTGGGAGGTAATTAGGTTCTGAGGGAGTAATGAGGGTGGGGCTGCCATGATGGAATTAGTGCCCTTATAAGAAGAGGCAGCAGAGAGTTTCCTCCATCTTCCCTTCCTCTCTCCTCCTCTCCTCTCTTCCCTTCCTCTCCTCTCCTCTCCTCTTCTTTCCTCTCCTCTCCCCTGCTCTCTCTCTCTCCCTCCCTCCCTCTCTCTCTCTCTCTCTCTCTCTCTCTCTCTCTCCTTCCCTCCCTCCCTCCTTCCCATGTGACAGCAACAAGGCAGCTGTCTGCAAACCAAGAAGAGGAACTTCACCAGGAAATGAATCAGCCAGCACTTTGATCTTGGATTTCTAGCCTCTAGAACTGTGAGAAGCAAATGCCTATTGCTTAAGCCACCCAGCCTATGGTATTTTGTTATGGCAGCCAGAGCTTACTAAGACACCACTAAAAGTCAGTTAGCTTTTTATTACCAGCACACACTAGCAATTCTCAAGAATGTCCGTGATAAAATACCTTCCTGCAGCCTAAATCGTTCCCACCACTCCCCTCCTTGGTACATCGCTGGTGTTAAGACTATGATAAAAAGATATCCCTGGAATCAGCAAGAAAACAAGATTTGTTGAATATATGACTAAAATGTCAGTAGGTAAATCTCATAAGGATGTGAACAGCAAGTTAGCATTTACATAAGGTCTAAAAACACACAAAAATATTATATGTACTATAAGTTATTTAGATATACATATATAACCAAAGCATAAAGATTTCCCTAGAAATACCAGATACCACATTTAAGATAGTAATTTTCTCTGGTGGGGAAAGTGGAGAGGGAAAAAAAGTGGTTCATAGGTATACAGGTAACGTTTCATTCCATAAGCCAGGTGGTTCATTATGCTATTACTCATACATTTTTGTATGATTTAAATATTTTATTCAAAAACTGCACATTAATCATTCAAGGAGCCCACTCACCCCTCTATGCTGGGAGAGGCCCATCACCAGACTCAGTCTCCATTTTCTATAAACTGGTTTCTCTCCTGGCCAGGAGGCATAAGAAAGCCTGGTACTTTAGGGATAGCAGGTAGCTTGGGATGTCTGAGCCCAGGGCGTGGTAGGGGACAAGGCAAGAGATGTGGCTGAGCAGGTGAATAGTGGCCAGGTCGTGGAGGACGCTACACACCATATTGCAGCATTTGGGCTTTGTGTGTAGAGGGGAGTAATTGGGATAGATCAGTGGCTTGGCAACAGAGAGATGGGGTAACATTGGAAGCACACAAGAGGCAGTGAGGGTGGGGTCTGCAGGAGTGGAAGGGATGTGGAAAGAGGGGGTTTGTTAGAAGAAATAGGGCAAATACAGCCCCATGGCTGGTCTGCTATAGGGTGGTAGCCAGCTCCAGCTGGAGGTGGAGTTTTCCTGGGTAAAAATGGAAGCAGCCAGTGATTGCTATTTATAAAAATAACTACAAAGGCTTGACAACCCAGAGCGAATGTTGAAAAAGTAAATTGAGGGCTGTTGGAGAAATGCTCAGTGTTTCTCATCTTCAAAGCATTTCTGAGACATGAGCTCATGAGTCCTCTTTTCAGAGCCCTGAGAGAAATATAGGGAGGAAGGAAGATGGGGACAAAGTGTGGGTGCCTTCCGCAAAGCAGCAGAAACTGGCAGCTGGAGGTTTTGTCATGGATGCCACTTCTTCAACTGCTCCTCCACCCTGTTCTTCAGACACAGCTTGGTTGGTGGCTTGGATGTGCAGCAGCAAAGGGAGGGAGGGCAGTCACGGGACAGGCAGAGCTGGACAGGCCACACCAGCAGCCGAGCAGGGCCACTGAAAGCTGCTAAAACCTGGGTCTGGGCGATAAAGGCATGCCTAGGCGGCTGGTCAGGAGTCATGCTGGGTGGGTTCCAGGTAGCGCTCTGGTTGAGGCCCAGGAGACTTGACCATGAAGTTGGCCCAAGAGTGAAGGTGCAAGCCCGGCCAAGGGGAGGGTTGGAATCCATGCAAGGTGATAGGAGGAAAAGGAGGGTAGAGAGAAGACAGGAAATGTGTGTCTCCACTTGGAATGAGAGCTGCCTCATGAGTGCCAGGAAATGGGCCCTTTTGCTCCACTGTTGTGAATCCTACTAGCCTAATGTGTGGAGGTTATCACTCTTCCGTAGAGGAAGAAACCAAGAGCATGGGAATCTCACACAGTGGCAGTGATGGGATTTGAACCCAGATCCCTTTGCCTGAATCCCTTTGCTCTTGGCAAACTCCCAGTCATTCTTCAAGTTTCTACTCCAGGGCCTTTCCCCTGGAATCCTTCCTAGACTGGCCGAGATTGAGGAGCAGTTTGTTCCTCCATGTTCCCCAGCGGCACAGAGCTGACCCTTTGAGAGCACCCATGTCACTGAGTTGTACGCGGCTCATTGCTTGTTGACTCCCAGTGGACTGTGTGCACATGAAGGTCAGACTCTCAGCTTCCTCCTCAGCCTCCCAGCCTTGGCAACACCAGATTCCTCTGCTCCCCTGTGACTTGGGCTCGCCCCAGGTCTTCTGAAGGGTAACTTCCAACTGGGGAAGTCTTTCCCTGTATCTTAGGTCAGACTCCCAAGAGGTAGAAGCTGACCGGTCAGAAGTCACTGCCCAGGGCCTTCGCGGCTGAGGGGCAGAGCAGCCAGACTCCGTGTGGTCAGGGCAGGCACCATGACTGACGGCCCAGAAAAAAGACACGCTTTATCCACAGTCAGGCCTGTGACAGCATGGACTAAGCATCTAGGTCCCAGGTACTGGGGGGAGAGGGGTACATTTAGGAACAAAACAGATCGTGGAGCCTATATTCCTGTGGGGAGACAGACAACCCATAAACAAACCAGGAAGGTGATGGTCTGTGCTATGAAGGAAGTGAACCAGGAATGCGACAGGGCTGACTGTGGACCCTCCTGAGGTGGTCAGGGAAGGACGTTAGCACATCCCAGCAGGACTTCCACACTTAGTTCATGCTCACAGGGGCCACTCCGACTTGCTGAATATTCAAGTTGTACGCTGCTCAGCAATGGTGGAAAAAAGGTCTTTACCCCATGAAAAACTGTACCCATACCTGACAGCATTGCTTCAGTCTCACGGTGTAGCACATTTTCTCCAGCCTCACTGGTGAAAGATTATTTCATTGCCTTCAACAGAAGGCGTATTTGTATGTGTACATATGCTTCAGAGAAATTTACTGAAAAGATGTGGGTATGAGACCAGCTGGCAACACTTTCCAAGCCAGGATCCTCTTTTAGCAATCTGCCCAAGAATTTTTGTTTGCAATGCTCGAACCCCAGCTGGGAGAGAAATGCAGTGTAAGGAATACACAGGGGCACATTCTCACTCACCTCAGAGCTCCTCATCATCCCCAAAGGAATTCTGACCTTGGAAGGAAGAATAGAATGAAGACTTTACAGCAAAATGTAAGGGCCTTGGGCAACTCCTCTGGTCCAGAGCATAGATTTCACATTCAGAAATAGAAGAGGGAAATGAAGTTATTCAAGCATCTTTCTTACATCTCCTTCTCAAAGGCCTTTTCTAGGGCCTCAATTGTGTCAGCTTAATGGGTACAATTCCTACCGCTTTCTCATAATTTCTTTTTCTTTTTTTTCTAAAAAAAA